CAAGACGTAAAGATACCAGTCGATCTTCCTTTCTTTACAACATAAAACTTACTATTTTTACCTTTCTTTGTCTTTCTCGAAGTTCTTTGTTCTGTCTTGTCCTCAATAGCGTCACTGTCGTATACGAACATTGGATCACGTAGCTCTTTCCTCACTCTTTTTACTTCTTCCATATTTAGTCAGGATGTGATAAATAACTTTACCGAATTGTTTAGGGAGAATACTTGATTCTAGATGTCCAAGTTACTAAGTAAAGTTGAGAAACTTACGGAGCGATGTTGACAACCATCTTCCAAGATGGCGTCCGTAGCTAGTAGTAATATGCGTAACTGACAGATTGAAGTTTGATCACCTTTTATTAGAAAACAAGTTTGCATGAACAAAGATGCCACTCAATCACCTAATGTGATTAGTGCATTCTGTTTTTAGGAATAGAATGGCTGTCTTGTGTCAGTTATATGACAACATGTAGTGTCTGTGTAAAGTTTGAAAGAAATTGGTTAATGCATGAAATTACTCAAAACTGATGCACAGACAGAACCTAAATAATTATACCCACACTGTTATTTTATTATTAATAGTCCCCCTTTGGACTTCTCATGAAACAAGCGACCTTGTGGTCGAAAGAGCTCCACTGTAATTGTTAACTGTGAGTTAGAAATGAAGGGTGGAGTGATGTTGATAAAGTTTGGCATCATAAAAGATATAGGTCATTGTATTACCAGTTTGAAGAAATGGAGATCATAGAGTATGATATGGCCAGTCAGGACAAGAGTTTCAAAACTCAAAATGGAATAGAGATTGACCTTAACTTCAAAATAGTTGTCTAATTAGTAAGTCAGTCTAGTTCATGTCAAGAACATTCATGCCAAATTTCAATGCAACCTGACAAGCAGTTGTTGACAAAAATATTCCCTAAAATAGAGATTTGATTGTGATGTTATGAAATGAACGAATCTGACAGAGGACCACGGCCACCCCAGGTAACTGTGCTATAAATAGCAAGGCGATCTAGTTTACAGTTTGGAAGAAGTTGCCTGAAAAAAAGTTGACAGACGACAGACACCGTACTACGTACAGCAGACAGACAGGTCCAGTCAACCAATAAGCTCTGCTCGGCCATCTTTGATTGGTAATATAAATGTAAACCTCAAAAAGTGAATGAAAGAACAACCATTTTCTTATATCTAATTTGAATGGTGTTACACGCACATGCGGCGGATGATCACATCATGTGATTCTTTACAAATAAGCGTCTACCCACGAGTCGTTTAGCATGTGTTGTTATTGTCAATACCTGTGCTTAGACAGATGATGATAACCCTACAGAAATATTGCATTATGACCAATAAATAGAGGTGAACCTACCTCAAATGGATTCAAATTAAAATAGGTCGCCCCAGGTCTCAAAAGTCTGTCAATCTGTTGTGTTGGTGTTAAAACAGAGTCTCTCTTTTCAATTTCTTTCACCTGCAAACAAAACACAATTGTGTTCAGGCTGTAATGTTAAATATGTGAAGCAGGATATTTCAGCCATATCCCAGTGTCATATATTCTACACTGGTTGTCAGAGAAGCACTGCATTGCAAGTAATATGTTAAATTGTTAACAGCAATGTATTAATATAGTTTCTAAAGCTACTAAAGTTTGCTTCTATCAGACAGATTCAAACATACAGACGGCTGTGATAAAACTGAAGATGCCAATATGTTAACACATTGTCTGCTAAAAGCTCCACACACATCCAAAAATCTGTGGGGAAAAAAAGCGAGTCAGTATGCAATGTGTTAACTTATGTTAATTATTGTTAAGAACCTTTCAAATACATCCATAATGGGAATTATAATGATAATTATAATAATTATATGGTACATGTATCCCTTAGATGTAGGGCAAATATTTTAACCAAATTCAGACCACAGCAAATTTACTGAAAGAAAGCAATTGGTATCTGAAAATAACCTATTTTATAATTAATAGCATTAATCTAAACATCTAATTAACTAACCTAAAATGAAAAGAACCTATCTCACATCAATAATTAATTTCACAATGCAAAAATGAAATGTTCAACGACAACAGAACCTCAGCCATGGAAAAAACAAACTTAGAACATATACGTGTAAAACCATCAACTCAAGTTTCTGTCAGAGAGCTTTAGTCTAGCAAAGCTAAAAAAACTATGTAAAAACAAAATTCATTTCCATTCAACTGACTTATGCAAAACCAACTCAGGAATCCTATTGGTTCATCCCTTAAATTGATACGGACAATAACAAAAAAACTAAAGCGATGATATTGTCAACAATAGTGCTGTGTACTTACTGGCTCATCTAACCAGGGAGCTGTAACTCTGATCTAACACATGGCCCAGCAGTATTGTATCAACAATTTCATAACAAAAACTTACATAGAACAGTTTTAAAATAGAAATAGTAATTTTCGAATTGTATTCACCTTGAACTAAATTGTATCGGAAACCCAAAACATTATTTTCATCTTTCTAAACTATCAAATTTGATCTTGAATCACATTGTAATACAGTATTAAGCAACAAACTTCATTGCAATACAAAATTGAACAATATAACCGGCTCGTTTTATAGTTTTAAGTTTGACTTCATGTGTAACTCAGTACCGAGCTGTTCACTCACTCATGTGACTGGGAATAGATCACAACTACACTGTAGAAACCAGAAAAAGCATATTTTGGAATAAGGTAAACTGAATCTTTACCTCGGTCATAAACTCTTTGAAAACACCGTCTTCATTAGCGTTCGGTGGCTGTTCAAATGAAGACGATTCCGAAAACGTATTTTTCAACGTCGCCATTTTGTATCCTGCTTGATTTGCATGCCCTCTACGTCGAATTAGTATTATTTTTAGTCACTGGGGGCGCTAAATTGAAGCCAGTGACTTCAATTGAACAAGTTTTTAGCTCTGTAATTGCTTGAAATGTATATCATTTTTTAAGAACTGCGGAAAATAATGCCGAAATGTAATTACCCGGGATAATAACTTGACTTACACGATCCAGTCATCTGTGTATTTGGATGCGGAGACATTATGCTATAAAAACTACATACAAATACTAAACGTAAACAAATAAACTCATTATAGTTCACGGATAATTTAGAAAATTGTTGACCTGACTTTAGACGACGTTATTCGCACTCTATTCACTGTAAATTTGCATTTATTTAGTGACACATTACTGACTCTGGAAAGTACAACAGTAAGGTCACTAACAACTTAAAACAATGGAAAAAAATATATAACAATGAAAGATAAAAAGTGGACGCAAATTAAAAGATTCACTGGCAAAACATACAAAAATACAATTATACTCCTAGCTACCGTACTATGAGGTGTTTACTCATATAATTCATGTATATTCTCAACAACAGCCGAGTTACCTTTGACTTGTGAATGTCTCACTGTAATTGTAATGAGTCAGAAGCTGTAATACAAATGA